CTGTCCCGCTACAAAATTTTATTAATCCTTGCACAACATTTCACGCATCGCAAAAGAGAGAGTGAATCAAACTGAATGATTACAGATGGATAAGACAAGACAAGAATTTCCAGGCCCCATCTGGCTGCCTTTATGAATGTCTCTTAAAGAGCCTTTTAAAAAGGTGATTGGTCTCTGCATCTGCAACAGCATGACCATGTCAGCAGGTCAGCTGCTGGCCGGTGCCGTCACATATGAAATATTACAATCTGTGGAGTCCGACAGCCCCACCTTAAACAGAATTAAAAAAAACTCACATATAAACATGCAAATCCACATACACGGTCCTCATCTTCTTTTTTTTATTATTATCAGGGACCGAACAGTACGGCAGGGGACACAGCATTTACATTTCAAAAAAGATGGGCTTTTAATTTACCCAAAAATAAGGAAAAAATACAAACGGCATCAAACAAACTGGGCCCTAAAAGAGGTCAAGAGAAGATAAGAAAAGTCAAAATACAGCAAACTGGACAGCACAGCACCACAAACCATAAACAACTGACCTAACAGAAATGGGGAACATATATACTGGCTGGCCAAACCAGTAACGCACACAGGGAATGGACAAAGACACTAACTAAAAAATCCACCAATAAACACTGAACAGACAGTCAGCTAACAAACTAATATTTTTCTTTACATAAAAAAATAATAATTTGACAAAGTTTTAACATAAACTACAAACAAATAAACTATACACCCCTATATGATTGATTAATTGTGTATGTCTAAACTTAATGCCAATTCAAATGCCTAAAATCTACACATGTGAACAAAGAAAACAAAAGAACATTACAAAACTAATTCCACCGCTGGTGGTGGCTTAGGCCCTCACATAGTGAAGGCCAGGGCTGAGGCCTTCACAATCTTCCTAAAGGTAATTGATAAGAAAAACAATCACACAAGCAGGCTCAAGAAATCAAGAAAGATCAAATATAAGAACAAATGCTTATGGGACAAATCTATCAAAGCTCTCTCAGTATGGTCGAGCAGTTACCCACATGGTTTTCTCAACATGCCCTTCATAACAGATTTATACTGAGGATTTAGTGCCTACAGATGTCCTCTGAGAGACACGCTTCTAAGTTGTGCCCTCTGCCAAGTGGTGTGTGCATGCGGTCCTCAGGGAGAAAATGGCACGTGCTGCTTATGATCAGGGCTTGATTCTTTGCTTGTCTTTGCTGTTGTCTTCACCTCAGGGACAGTGTGGCTATTGTATAGCAGAGCCACTGTCAGTCAGTCAGTCAGATTATCACTTGATCACTCAGTTGATCATTTTGTGGAATCAGTGGACAGCTGTAGTATAGTGTCTGAAACTATTTTGTTTTTTAAAATGTCCTGATCTTAGACAGTCTGCAAAATCAATGAAAAAAGAGGAAAAAAAATGAACCTGAACTACAGCAGAAATATGGGTTTGTATTAAAGAGAAGATGTACACCATAACAGTGGCTAAGGCCAAACAGGCCTTTTACCAACTTCTAATAGCAAATAAAATAGCCAGCATGAACATTTTTTCTAAATTGCTGGTCTTGAACAGAAAAAGAACTGCCTTAAAACATTTTTCCAGGCAAACCCAAATACACTTACTGCTGCAGAGGGTACTGTAGTTCTATCAGTCTTAAAATGACAGTCAGTACATGAACAGGTACATGTGATTCTTTGGAGCCATTGATTTTGAAACTAAATATGTGAGCCACATGCACTGTATGAACCTATTGTCCTATAAATCTCAAAGACAAAGTAACATGCTTCTTGGAAGGAGTCTGTCCTTAAACTCCAGAAGTCTTGTCATCCAACTCTTGGGAAGAAACCAAAGAAGCACATTTACCAAAATACATGATACAGTAATACTGTATATGAGCTCTAACTGGTTTAGAAAAACATGCAAAATGTGGAAATCAGGCCTTTTATTTACAAAATTCATGCAGAAAAAAGATATTGAGCATTAATTGTTAAAGCATAAATGACTCAGTGTTTCACTTTTACAACATGAAGACTGAAAAAATATTATGCAGCAGTTCAAATTGACTTTGAACTTCAGAAATACAGTAAATAAATAAACAAATAAAATGTCTTTGTCAATAGAGTTTGAAGGTGATTTGTCTTAATGCTACTGTACTGATATTCCACTGCTTTAGATAACGTCTTAGCTTGACTCCTGCTTCAGTAGTGGAGTCATCGCAGCACAAGTCAAAGGCTACAGCGCTGCCAGAGGAAGACCAAGGTAAGAAGAACAGGGTGCCAGGAAAAAGGGGTGTGACTGCATCTGTAAATAGTGGCACTATTTTGGGCTTACCATGGTCATACAGGGGAGTACCGCCTAGGCCTGCCTTCTGTCACTATGGGGATGGGCACTTCATAACTTTGCTGGATGGAAAAAGTCTGGAGGACTGGCAGGTGGTACACAAGAGCGTGGCACAGCTCCCATGGTGAGGAGTTGTTTCACTCATAACTAGCCACCACTAACAATACTCACTGGAACACACACAGGCCTCTGCTTGTACTTGGCATATCAGCAGCTCTTTGCATTTTATCCAGCTAAAGTACAGTGTAAGTTTGCTTATATGTCTCTTTGAAACAAAAGTAGAACATGAGACCAAATACCACCTGGTGATTGATTTATAATGTGCTCTCTTTCCTGGCAATGGCAAGTGAAGAAAAAAAAAAGGTAAAACAGCTGGTAAAATACCTTCAACCAGGATCACAGGGGGCCGGGGCCAATCCCAGCTGACACTGGACGAAAGGCAGGGTCCACCCTGGACAGGTCGAGTCTATCACAGGGCTGACATGTAGACAAACACCCACACTCACAGCAGCAACCTAGAGTCACCAATCAATCTAAGCTACATGTCTTTGAAAGCCAGAGTACCCAGAGATAACCCACGCCAACACAGGGAGAACACACTAGCTCCACACAGGAAGGCATTGGGTCGGCCCGGGCTCAAACCCGGAACCTCCTTGCTGTGAGGCGACAGCACTAACCATCATGTCCCCATCTCATTCAAAAACTGGTAAAAAGTATTTTAAAAAGACAGAATACATTAACAACCAATTCACTATTTGTGATAAAAAATGTGACATTTTGGATAAATAAAAGTAGTTGAGTTTCTGAATGCAAATGAATTCCCAACAGTAAAACATATCTAAAAGACATTTTAAAAAATCCAGCTCTTGACAAATCAATATTAAAAGGCTCAGAAGTCAGTATTGTACTTGCCTAAATAAACTGAATTAAAGAATGTGATACACAGTTTCTGGCAGGAAATGTATGTTTCTTTGGGGAACACAAATCTTCTGATGACAAAATCCAAACAGTGAAAAATATTTTAGTTGACCAAAAATGTAATTTCAATAAACAGTTTGAAACAAAATGAGTAATAAACTAATGTTCACATGTAAATTTAACACCAAAATAACTGAAGATTTTTGTATGGTTAACATTATGCCATTTATTAATTAATTGAGAACACATTAAATGCATTTAAAACACATTTTGTTTTTCATAAATATTTCATATTAAAGAGAAATATGTTTCACCTTGTGCCTACACAGAAAAGCATTATAGAGCTGCAGCGATCTTGTAGCCAAGAAAAAGAGTAAGGCACAAAATAGAAACCTTATGCATACAGTTTGGTCATGCTATTTATTACACTATATGCCCACAAATGTATTAAAAAGCTATACTGGAAGCTACTGTCAGCTAAATGATCCCCAACATTAGTACATGCTCCAAAAGACAGATAACATGGAAAAGACTGCAGCTGTGTGAACAAGGAGACAACATAGGTACGTTTATGACACAACAGTGGACACCAATCTACAATATTTGGTTTGAAAGCAAATAAAACCCGCTCTATTTCTATGGTAAAGTGCATAATGTTTTGTTGTACAGGGGAACCGATCTACACTCAAAGTCTCTGACAAAAAAAAGGGGACCTGGACAATAATTTCACCAAAGATGAAATCCTTTGGTTTACTCAGATCAATTATTGCCAGCTGCAATTAACAGTCCTGCCAACCTCTCGGTGGAATCACCCAGATGGCAAAGGAAAATCAGCCTGTGGCATACTCGGGTCTTCCCTGTAGCTATTTACATGCAAACTTGCAGTGCAAGAAGTAACAGACAGATATATATTGTCCAGGAGTAATCTCATTTAAATTCAGCAGGTAAGCATACCATTGTTCAACTATATCACAGCTGGGCGAGAGGGAAACTCTGCTACCTGTGTTTAGAAGCCCCTGCAGCCAATAACTGTCATAGGATATGTACTATATATTTCTCTGATTGTCTGTGCATCATTCTGCCATGAACTGGGTGGAGGACTGGAAGACTGGGACAGGATGATCAAAAACAGGCACTAAGGTGAAAAGCATAATGGAGGGTAGTAGAAATGGTCCAAATCATTTCAGGGGAAGACCAATGGGAAATGGGAAAAGCTAAACAGCAAACTGCATGATATAAGCATAAGGCATACACATTTTCAAATGCATGTTTATACAAAAGAAGATCATACAGTAACATTCAGTATAAATGAACAATGAGATAACATGGAAGCAAAAAAAAACAAAACAATACTAATCTATTCACACTCCCTACATGTCTTCCAGCCTTTTATTCCCTGTAAACACATCACTGAAACGATACAAAAATGTCATATAAAAACTTCCACTTTGGGTTCAATGAACCAGTTGCATTTGTGTGACTGCTGCTGTTGTTTGATGTCAGTAAGGCACCGATTTGGTCATTTGGGGACTGACTGCACAAACAAATGGTTTAATGTGATGAAAGATGACAATGTCCCATTAGCTTGTCCATGCATTAACATACAGATCACTTTTGAAATGAAGATTGTCATTGCCAGCAACAGAAGAGTAAATCAGTCTCATTGAGCTGTTTGGTCCACTAAAGAACATCTGTTGTGAATTATTAAGGCAAGTGTAGACATGTACTTTGCCCTGACATCACTTTCCTTTGTGTAAATACAACATTCATCTATTTATTTAATTGGAGCTTGCCAGTGATTGTCAATGTGAATCTGCAGTGAGTCTGCGAGTGATGGGGAGCTGATGATGGTCAGGTGGGAGATCCTGGTCAACAATGTATTCTTTGTCATCTGGATCTCTAGGTTTGTTTGTCTTCTTTTTGTTGCTGCTGCTGCAGAAGACTTCAGCATATCTATGCATGAGTGTGCACAGAAATGCTGGAGAGGTCATTCCTGATGACTTCGTTAACTGTGGAGACAAAAGAGAAGTTACAGATCATTATTAACCTGTAACACTAAATAACCATTTAGCTCACTAAAACACTAGTACATTTAATATAGAATAGTAACCTAGAAGTAACAGAGGCGAGGCATGTGATAGGAAGGTTGACAGTATGAATCTCTGGCAGGCCTTGCTAGCCAGGCAAAGTGGGCAACTTCTTCTAGTGGCCCATATGGATCCAGGCTCGCTGTTTACCTGTAAATATTGATGAGTGAAGTCTATGCTTCACCTCTAAACCAGCGAGTGTATGTTCACACAGTGGGCATGTAATGCTACTACTCTAGACGTGAGGACACTGTCATTTAACCAACCACAGGCCTTGCCAGTGCTAACACCCTCCTCCCTCAAATTCCTGGAATTTGATTTACTACTACCCCATGAGGAGTGCTGAAATTTGGACTGGCCTCCAAAGTAGGCTGAGGGCAATGGGGAACAAAATTCAGAACTCAAGACAAGGGGCACATTTGGTCGAAAAAGCCTATCTGTGTCATTTGGGTTTTTGCTATTTTAAAGGAACGCTCCATAGATCAGTTTACTTGTCACGGTTAGTACTGCGCAGCCTGTCAAAACACTTACATTATGTTTTATGCTAGATTTTGAACAAGGTCACAGCAAATATACTATTTTTGCTGTTTCAGAAGACTTAAAACTAAAAACTTGAAAAGAGGACCTCCCCATGCGACAATACTCCACTGAACAGTTGGCATAGATGGTCAAGCTGAAAAATATTGTATATCAGTAATCACAATCCAAGCATATCAATGCCATTACTAGCCTTTACAACTCATATCAGCTGCACACACTCATCTCATGTTTTTAAGTGATCATCTTGTCTTTCCTGCACTAGTTCCTGAGCCCGCGCCTTTCCCACAGTCAGGCAGACACAGATCAGTCCCCTGCTTTTATCTCCTCTGTGTTCTTTGGCAAAACAGAGGGAAATGCCTGTGAAGATGGCGAGTACCCTGAGCCCTGTGACTTAATGCAAACAAGAAGCTCCTCAGTTATAGAGCTCACTGTGATAAAGCAGGCTGATGTAGACAGAGAGACAGAGAAAGAGAGTCTGGTGAAACCACCATCAGAGACAGGAAGTTCACCCACTCTAAGGTTCAAAGTGGACCTGCAGTTTGTTATCACCAGATACTGTTTGGTGACTGGTGAGAGACAACAGTGTGGAGACCATTTCAGTGCTGTTAATTATTATCAGCATAATATTCTATGAAATAATTACAATATGATGCAGATGAAAGTTGTTCTGCTTTTGCTTGTACAGCAGTGATGCTGATGTCAGCTGAACTGATGAAATGGAATAAAGTGTACAAACACCACAGCAATATTACCATGTACTGTATTACCAAGGATGGAGACAAAGCTAATCTGGATCTGTACATAAAGCGTGCCACAGATAGTATGTTTTAAAGAAGTAGGCCACAGTCCTATAATAGCATGCCCTGCTTTCTATATGTAGTCAAATACCCACCCACACAGAGACAAACAGGTTGGTTGGGATTCACCTCCCTTAGCAGGAGGAACTCCCATTGGAAAAATCCAACCTGTGCCAACACCACTCGCTGTTTTCAACTGCATTCTGCTCTGGGCTGAACAGACGTTTACATGTCGGAGTTATTTTTAGCACTGCCAGGGCAGGAAGTGTAATCACATGTAACAATTAAATAATAAAAATTTTATGTCACGGCTTGTTTCTGTTTATCAAGGTAAGAAAATAGCTGCAGGTAATTTTGAGTAGGGGAAGGGAAAACCCATTTTCTCAGAGGAAAAGCAGTGACTTCTTTTCTTTTCAGTCAAAGTGAAAAAAAAGTTGTTTCTCTACCCACATATTAACTGTGGTGTTATTTTGCTGTGCTTTATCAACTAATATTTTCCACTGGTATGCCAGATTTTGTTCCATTCTGAAGAAGCGAAAGACAAAGAAAAAATAAAGGTAAAACACTGGCCGATGTGTTTTCATCTTTGTACTCATTCGGCAATGTGAGTATCTCAGAAACAGGATGTGGCCAACTGTTACACCACAGGACAACACCAAGATACTATTTATAGCTGTTTAATGGGGTAGCTCTTGTCACTATTTTGTTGCAACAACTGCTGGGAAACATTACAGCATGAAACCTAAATGACATATACGTAAGCACATGTAACAGGTAAAGACTATAAACACAGAAAGTAGCCTTTATGAAAACATACGATTTGAAACACCTCAGATTGTGTATGGCAACAGTTTTGCAAAAGTATTCCATTTAAAATATATTGTTTATCCATGTTCATTTTTTTCCAATATCAAATGCTGTTATTAGAAAGGTTCTGGTTTTCCCTTTAAGTCAATCTCTTTTACATGACAACATTTCATTTTTGTGTCTGTCTCACCTTCCATGTAGTGACTAGATAACCACAAATATGCAGCACAGGGGAAGGCAGTCACACATTTTGAACATTTTGTTCAGAGTGGAATCTGTCTCTAAAATTCAACCCCTCACTTAACAATAATGCTACTGTATGTTTTGTTATTCAATAATGAGGCAAAGTAGAATGTGTACTCTCAGATACATAAATTAACTCTTGGTGGCCTGGCATCCTTCTTGGTTACACAGGAAACTTGTTTTGGTTTTTCTTTTTTCAGTTGGCCAGGTTAATAATGGAAAGCTGTAACTGGGAGGATACCCTCTCATGAATAAACAAAAACAGTGGAAAATTGAGCTCCAGATATTCCCCTGCTGAAAAAAGTGCCCTGCTAGTCTTAGTTAAACAAAGTGACATCCGTTATTAGCCGTAGTGCCAGGGCAATTAGTGAACCTCAGTCCGGACCTGTCAGGACTCATACGTAGGGCTGGGCAGCTGGGAGATCTATTTCAGGCAGGTGTGAGATTGACACAAAAATATGACTGTGCTTTACCGTGCTGAACACCTTCAATACACAATTCAGCTCCTTTGTGGGGGCCTACCAGTGTTTCTTGGCAGTGACTGTAAACCGTCCAGTTTGAGTAATACAGCCATGAGTTTGAAGTCCTGAGCCAGGATTTCACAACTTTGGAAAGTTACCACAGCAACAGTCATTTTTGCCACTGTCTTCTTAAACAGTAGAACAAGCAATTGCAGCAAAATGTGAGACAGAATTAAAGTTTTAGCTCAAGGCCTCTGTGTTGGTACTGTACAGTTCCAATCTAGTGGTGTCACTGGAATTAAGGATTTTTTGATGCTACTTTATGCTTTGCTAATTTCATTCTGAACATGGCCTATGCCAGTCTGATTTAGGCAGCAGGAACTTGCAGAAGAAAACGACACTTGAAGGTTCCTTCTGCCATAACATGATCTCCTTGAGTCAAATCAGGTCTGACTGGAAATGGCCTGGCAAAAAGTGATTTTACCTCCCCCCGGCTTCCCTCAGCTGACTATCCAAAACACGATCTCTGAACTCAAGGCTTGAACAGAGGCATCCTGCCAGAGACTCCTGTTCCCATTTGAAGTCTGTTGATACTGAAGGAGAAGGGGACACCTTCCTGAGCTTCTCCTACTTTCACTAGATGAATAAAGTGCAGGTGTGCTAGGGGCAAGGACCTTTGCACTGTAGAAAAGGAGTGTATTTCCTCTGCTTACTTGTACCTCCTGTAGTAGCATGTCAGGTTTGTGAGAAAAAGGAGGTAGTTTCCTTCCATTGTAGCACTCAGACTCTTATCAGCATGTGAGAAAGTACTTCTGAGTCATAGCAGCTCTTTCATATAAACACATATAAACTGGAATTAAATCTGTACAAGAGCTCACAGACAGTAAATGGCTGCAAGATTCACTCAAAATCAAACCTCAGCTGAACTTGTGCTTTCATGTGGAATTGATTTGGCATGGAAGCCAAACTAAGGCACAAACTTGCTGGAGAGAGAGAATTGAATTTCCTGGTACTTATTACTTTTGTTTCCCCACTATATCAAATCTTCTCTCGGCCTCAGCAGAAACACTTAATGGACAATTTGCTGCCTCCCACACACAGCTCAAACGGCTGGATGGAGAGGCTCAGACAACATCAACTTATCTTGTGCTGATAACCAGCAGTGTCAAAAATACAAAGATGGTCAAAGGTCAGAACACACGCGTAAAGAGAGAGATAAAGATGGAGTGACTGAAAGAGCATGCATGAAATGGAGGGAGATGCAGTCATTGCCTAGGCAAAGAGGCAAAGTGTTCCACTCGTGTTTCATCATGATAAAATGCTTCATAAATTCATTTGAGCATTGCAGGTAGACGACCTCTAATCCATCGCAGGGATCCCTTTGGGCCTAATGATGTGATGATATGTACCGACAGCATATTTCGTCCCCACAGCTCAGCTGAAGCATTAAGCCACTCAGTCTCCACAACTGACAAAGGAAGTGGAGAAAAGAAGAAAAACAAGTGAAAGAAACAGGGCTGCGACACAAGGGCTAGTTTTAAAACAAATCAGCTTTCTCAGAAATCTGTGGTATTACAACTGCTCTGCAGCAGCTGTGTGGTTCTGTGAAGACACCGCTGTGCTACAGGCCACAGCCAGCCACATTCTCACACTGCTAAGGTGAACAATGGGACCATGATGAAAATGATGTGAGAAATATCTGATGAGTAAGAACACAATTTCTGCTGGTACTGGGGAAAATACGTTATGTTCTTTGACTTATCAAAATACTATTTTTTGCTCCTCTCACTCACATTGATTTATTCAAAACAATCGCTTTAAGCAGAATTTTTGTACTAAGTGCCAGCATCGAGAGGAGAGAAGAGAAGAGTCAATAATTAATTCATCTGTACTAGCAACAGCAAATGACTGGGATTTTTTTGCCTCTTGTTTCACCAGTCAGGCTGCACAGAGTCTATGGCTCTACCCTCTGACAGGTGGGATAAAACCTGGAGCCTTAAAGAAACACCAACAGACATTACCCAGAAATGTTAAAGCTCTATTACACTCCTTTGTATTGTAAAATGTAATATTT